GGGGGGGGCTGCATGCTCTGTGCAGAAAGACATGGCCATAGAGGATAGACTGTCCCCCACCTGCACCCCGTAACCAAGCATAAGCTAGCTAGTTAGCGTTGTCTAGTAGAAAGGATTCACCATCGAGGGGGGCGGCCCTCGTAGTCTGGGGGAGGGGGCAGGAGAGTGAATTCAAGCAGGAGGAACGCTTTCACTCTTGGAGGTGGTTTGGAACTTTAGGTAGAGTAAGTATGTACTTGAAATTATGGTGGTTCTTTAGTGCCCCGTAACACAAGCCTCAGTGTTATTAGAAAGTCTTTCTTATGAGCTAACAGCATTAGCAGTGAGGTTCCTTCACTACTGGGTGGGTTATTAGGTATAAAAAATAATTATCAACCAGGCAAGCGACTTCGCTCCCTAACTGATGCCACCCCACACTGGTACAGGTGTGCACAGCTGTGCCGGCCCCCAGGGAAGCCGGGCAGGGCTGATGCGTCTGTTATGAAGCCACTAACCGAATTCTTAACTGCGGAGCAGACGAGCCCCTTATGGGGAAGGCCTCTCCGCTGAGCTCCCAGTGTTGGCAGGGAGGCTCGTGGAGGAGGGAGGGAGGGGAAGCCACCTAGCTGGCCACTCCCGTGTGTGGGGAGGGATGGTGGGTCCCAGGCACATGCTGGCCTGGAGCTTCCCTGTGCTTCCCGCAGCCATGGCACGTCCTTCAGCAGGACCCTGAGCCCCACCTCCCCTCCCCCCCGTGGTTTGCGTGGACCGTGCTTTACCTGATGGACTGTAAACATCCCTAAGTGTCATGTGCAGACTTCCCGTGGGGATGAATACGCACGTGTCTGCAGCCACACTGTGAGAAGTTAACCGTGTGAGCTGGAAAATGCACTTGGCAGGGATAAAAAGGGAAATCTTTGTTTCCTGCGGTGGGAACTGACTGTGTAGTCGTAACAGCCTTTTGTACGAATATCTACAAGCCAGACAACTTCCCCGCCCAGTGCTTGCCCTTGGAATTGTCTCTGGATACATCAAGCATACAATAAAAAAAAATACTGACACGAACGTCCGGTGGCCTCTCCTATCTCGTGTCCCGTGAATAAACGTGGGCATCAGTCCCAACCAGAAAATGTGTGAAAGGGGATCTAGTTTTCAGACTTGAATCTTCAGAAAACCCAATCAGTCCAGCAGTCTCCCCCATCTTGTACCACTCAGTAGATAAATTCACTGTCTAAAAGTAAATACCTTCATTTTCTCATGGCGTTTTCCCTTTGTGTGTGTGTGTCTGTGTCCAAACTTCCCCTTTTTATAAGGGCACCAGCCATGTTGGGTTAGGGGGTCCACCCTACTCCTGTAGGACCTCATCTTAACTAGTAACACCTGCAATGGCCCAATTTCCAAATAAGGTTACATTCTCAGGTGCTGGGGGTTAGGACATCAACCTAAGAATTTTGGGAAGATGTAATTCAACCCACAACAGAAGAGATTCGTGAAGGAAGCCAAAGCCTCTGGGGCTGGTCGTTGCTTCTGGAGTCCAGAGCGCTTCTCAGTCCGTCGCTCCTTCCCCCTGCAGGCAGCACCTCTCCCCCCTTCATCTATAAGGGGTGCCTGGGGTGGTGGAGACTTCACCGCCCTCCACGGCAATGGCTTTGCAGTGCATCACCCGCTTTGTCAGTTCTCCTGGACTATTGCTTCTCTGCTCAGACTGGCTCCCGGGTCATTCACGAGCTTACTGTACCTCCACAAATAAGAGAGCAGATAAAACAAGTCAGGCCCTGAACTCATTTGGATGCAAAGCGTGTAGCAGCTAACTCTGAAATCAGCTTCTAGAGATTTATTTCCAGAACATCTGTGAATTCTAATGACTGTTCCCTCCGTTTCTCCAACAGCAGAGCTGGTGGAGTGTGGTCTGGGCACTCAGCAAACGTCTAAATGGCCTGCCTGGGATGCAGCCAGCGAGAGCTCCATGCTGAGCACGTGGTCAGCAAACTCGCTGTACCCTGGGGTGCGGGGGGTGCCGATCCCTGGGTCTGCTGTGACCCAAGGGGCAAGGGCTTGCCCAGGCATGGAGGTTGGGATGATACTGCTGCTCCAGACAGGTTTTTTGAGGGGCTTGCTAAGGTGGGGGTGGTGGGGGTGCTAAGTGCACTTTAGGTTGAAAATCGTTCCTTTTTAACACAAGTTAGGAATTCATAAGCAATACTCTCTGCCCATATTGATAAAACTGAATAGAGTGTTACCCACTTTTTAAAAAACTGCATTTAAAGTTTTCCCTCGGTTGGTTTTTCCAAGTACTCATTAGTTTAGTTAGCTTGTGGACACCAGGAAAACATTAGACAAAACTTTGTGGTTTAGTGGGAAATGTCAGCTCAAAAAAGAAAGGCCCTGATTCTAACACAGGGTGTCACAGCCAAGTGCTGGGTCCTGTGTAAGTATCAGTTTTACTCTGTCATTCTTTTTAAAAAAATTATTTTTATTCTGAGAGAGAGAGGAAGGGAGAGGGGGAGAGAGAGAAACATGGATGTGAGAGCAACACATCGATCGGCTGCCTCCTGAACACCCTGATAGGTTTCAACAAGGAAACAACCAGGAGCATTACCACTTATTAAAGTTTATTAGGTACAGAGAAATGGATCTGCAGAGGGAACATCAATAAATATAAAATACGTGTGAAACAGGGGAGCAAGGACGACAGTGTCCTGTTGCGAGAATATGCGAGGATGGGGGGCGCCGTGACCCGCTGTCTCTGTGTGAGTTTATGGTTAAGGGGCTCAGCCGTTGTCCTGCGAGTCCAAAGGGCCCGAATCCAGCGATAGGTCTCGAGGAGAATGCGACGCCGGATTCCTGAGATTTCTCCCTAACGGCCATCCGTGGTTTCTGCTCATCCTTAAATTTATTTTTAAGTTTCTAGCCCAGCGGTGCAGACCCCGAACGTATCGACACCTCATCAGGGATATCTAAACACCTGCCTTTGTCTAGGGCCTTCTTAACGTGATGATTAAATCCTTTGTAATTATTTTGTACGACTGGGAGGGAGTAGAGTGGATACTGTTTATAATAAAGAAATTCCGACCTTTCGGAAACTTTCCAGAACCCATGAAACAAATCAGCTGTGCCCAGAGCCGGTGACCTGGAAAAGCTTTTCATGGATTTAGCTGTTAGAATTTGGCTCGATTTCGTCCCCAGAGAAGGGAACCTGACCTTGCTCCCTGGCTTCTCTCCGCAAGGAGGAGACACCACAGTGATGCAGAGCAGCATCTCAGCCTTCGCTCTGGGCCACAGTGAGGTGTGTGCAGTCACCTGTTTGCCAAAACCCTCCTATCCGGCTACCGTTTTTGGACGGCTTGGTCTGGGCATGATCCCCTCGAGGTGTGAGCTCTGAGCACACGAGAGGCTGGTTCCAAAGGAAACATTTTGACTGCCCTCCCAGCCTCTCCCTCCCCAATTTCCTTTAATCTGCAGCGATTTTGATAACAGACCAGGGATCGGCCTGTTTCCTTCTGTTTCCCCCCTTCCTCTGTCACGGCCTTCCTCTCCGAGGACGGGGGCACCTGGGGTCAGCAAAAACACACTCCATCCCCTCGCCAGCTCCAGACAAAGGGTGTGAGCAGCGGCCAGAGCCCGTCCTGACCCGCCCCACACTCTGGGCGGCTGCACTGGGCCACTGCTCCCCCCCAGAGAGGTGCCCGCCACCAGGATGTCAGACCCGTTGGTCTTCAGCTCAGAGGGCCCTAGGTTTTGCCTGATGGCTGGTCCCAGGGCTGGGGGTGGGGAACCAGAGAGTTGAGGCAGATAGCTCATAATATGTTTCAGTTCACATTTTTTTCTGGCCATGGAAATCCAGCGCTTGGGGGAGAGAAATGAAAAAAGGCCTCTGAGCTAGAATTAGTAACTTATTCTAATCATTAGTTTTGCAGGTTTCTCACTTGTAGGGAAAAGAGCGAAATCTCATAAAGCTGGCTCTGCCTCACCCTGGCTGCCAGGATGGGGCTGGGAACGTGGCGGGGGCACGACAGGAGGCAAGTCCTGGGGACTTGGGCACGAGGGGCACTGTAAACAGAGCATTGGCTACGCGTAGGGTCCTTCAGTTACAAAAGGGGCCTCGCCCGCTCCTGCCTGGACTTTGCGTTGTATTTACATTAGGCAGCAAAAAAATCCCTGTACTGCGAGACGGAAGCGAGACGGGGCGTCTCGTTCGCTGGAGGCTGTGGCATTGTCTGGGTGTGGGGACACCGGGCCTCTCTGAGCTGTGCCACTTATAAGGCATTATTTGGTTTGGTTCTGCAGTTTGTGCGCTGAGAATATAAAATCAGGCCAAGAAGAAGCCGCCATGGATACTGCGACGTTGGGGCTACTTGCAAACCAAGGAATCTTCTAAAAATGGTTCTGAATCTAGGAAGGGCCAGCCTGCCCGCGTATATACAGTCATGGGGTGGACGCTGTGGGGTGGGGCAGGGTTCTGTCTGCACCGACAGACGAATGTCAAGATGCATCTTAAAAAATGGAGAAATGGTGAGTGCGGTTTTCTTAAAAAATAAAAATCGACTATAATACCGAGTTAAAGCCTGTGCAAACCACGTATTTACAATAAATAAATGCTCCACTCGGAGCCTGTATGTCAACTGCACTGCAACGTGAGTCCGGTGAGGTCAGATGCGGCCTCCTGGGGACGCCGTCCCACGATAGGGAGCCCCGGGTGCTCGTGGGACGTTGGCTTCCTCGGTCTCCTCACCGGAGTGTCTTCAGAGATAACTGCGGGAAGACGACGACATCGCCAGGTGGGGTTAGAACACTCGCCGCACACAGATGACCCACCCGGGCTGGCACTGAAGCTCTCTGTGCAAGGCCGCGAGGGCCTGATGGTCCCATTGTATGCAAGGAGCTGATTTTCACTCAGGGGGGGCCTCGGGTGGGAAAAGGGAGAAATGGGACATGTAGTTGATGGCATGAGGGGATTTAATGCCATCTTATAAACATGTACAGGACCAGGCAACAGCAGATTCCCTTGACAGGTGCTCTGGAGAAGCAAAGAACTTGCTGGAGATCCCAAGACGAGGCGACGGGAAAGGAGAAGGGCCCTTCAGGTTTGCAGTCCAGGGGCCCACCTGTGCTCGCCTCACCTGGGTCCCGTATCCATGAAAACACGCCCGCTGGGGCTGTGTGTGGGACCCAGTGATTTCTCCGGGCGATTGCTTTCTGGCTCACTGAAGTGAAGACGAATTAAGATGGTGACCAGCTAGACATAAGGAAGACCTGACTATGGGGTGACCAGGACGGATTTTGCAATCCATCCTTGACTAGACATTTATGGGCTGGGTGATCTAGGCGAGTGCCTGCCACGAGGCCAGGGACCAGACACTGCACAATGGAATGGCAAAAATGCACTAGGAAGAGAGGAAAACTCAGTCCTAATCTCCCAGAGCAAATGCCTGCGAATAGTCTTTTTTACTACTGGCGTATGCTTCCCTTAACTGCAATCGTACACCCAGTTTTGAGCCTATGACATTTGCGAATGGTTATTGCAATTCTTGGATTAGCTGTGGTAGGAAAGGGGGCTGTGCTCTCTTCCTTCGAGGAACTCATCCCAGCTTCCAGGAACCTAGCCCCTTCCTTCTCACGGGACTTTCCTTGAGGCTCCATAGAGCTGCAGAAGGGCCCAGTTTAATAGCGGGTCACCCTCTGTCACACAGAGCTCAAGACAGGAGGCGGCCAGGTAGGGCCCAATAGGTGCTTTCAGAGAAACAAAGGGCCTTTAAATATGAGGCCCTATCATGTGCAGGGAGAGACGTCATCTCCACCTAGGTTAGGAAACACTTGTATGCAAGTTGCCTCGGGTGAAAATTGAGGGAATTTCTTGTCTTATCACACAGGCACCTGTCTGATTCTCCTCCCAGCTTCCTTCTAGCTACAGGACTTGAACTGTGACAAAATCTGGCCCAAATAAATTATATTGTTGATGTCCATATGGGATTAAACTTAAGATTTCCAAATTTGGAACATTAAATGATACCAAACCATAGTAACAGAATTCTCTCCCTTTAGTTAAAAAAAAAGATTCTCTAAAAACATATTACATTTGTTGTCCTCAGTCTTCTTGGTATATTATTGTGTCTAATGTAACTGCTATCATTCTCAAGACATGATGCATTTATTTAATACTTTCCAATATTTTTTCAGCTCTTTTTATGTCTCATATGTTCTTGGTTTAGCCAGAAATTTTAAATAAAAATGCTCAATAAAAAAGTAAAAAAAAAAAAAGTATAATGTTGATGGGGGAAGATAAACCCCCAAGGGTAAGAAACTATGTGTTCTACAGACGAGAGAGGACATGGAATTATGTTTTGTAAATGTTAGAGCCTTTCGCTCAGGCTCCTCAAGCCCACATAAGGAGGGCAGAATGAACGGGGGGTGGCCTGGTGACTGGCAGAATGATTCCACGGGGGTTCTGGCCACCCGACTTGCTTCTGTAGGTGGTGGTGATTCCAGTGACCCCCTCTTCCCCTCTCACTCTCTAGATTTTGAAATTCTGAGTGTCCCTGCAACACATTTTCCCTGAGGAAAGAGTCTGAGGAAAGATGTGAAGCTGTTAGGAGAAGACACACCCTCACCGTCTCCGAGGGCCCCGAGGGCCCCGAGGGCCCCGAAGGACGCGATACCTGAGAGTTTCTGCCTTTGATGTCATCGGAGCTCTGCCCGGCAGCCTCGGCGTGGAGCCAGGGACCAGGTGTACGGCCTGAAAGACACAGGGACAATCTCATCATCTTCTGGCACGGGGCCGGGCCTCGCACGTCACAGACTCAGGCTAAACGGTGCTGACAGCAGCGGCCGAGGAACCAGAGTAATGCGAGCCGGTCAACCTGAGACCTGCGGGCTGCTGGCCCCAGACGGCGTGTTTCCACCGCTGCTTCTGCGTCCCCGGCTGTGAGTACACAGGTCACGTTCAACATGCTGAGGGAACAGGTCCCGGAGGCCTGTCATCTCAATGCACGGGACAGCGTCTTAGCTCAGAACACCGCCAGCGCTGGTACCCGAAATGGGCCACGCACTGTACCAGACTTGATTTAGAAAGAGAGCAGAAGCTGCCCTGGCTGGTGTGGCTCAGTGGTTGGAGCACCGGCCTGCGTACAGAAGAGTCGTGGATTTGATTCCTGGTGAAGGGCACGTACCTGGGCCGCAGGTTGATCCCTGGCTCCGGTCAGGGTGCATGTGGAGGCAGCTCATTGATGTGTCTCACCGATTTTTTTCTTCCCTCCCTCCTTCCCTCCCTCCCTCTCTAAAAATCAATGGAAAGAATATTCTTGGGTGAAGATTAAAAAAAAAAAACAGAGCAAAAGCTAAGTACATGCTGACAAAGTCAGGCTCTGTTCCACCAGGATTCAACTTATTCTCGAAAATATATTATGTTTAAACATTACACAAGCTATATATAAATATGTTCTCATAATTGAGAATTCAACAAATACAGACGAACATAAGGAGAAAGAAACCAGCCTGATGATCCTTCTCTGCCTCCCCCCATCCCCATTTTCCGTCCCAGTCGCCACCGCTCAGAGCTGGGTGTTTACTCCTGCAGGTGTTTTTTCCTGTGGCATCTCCTGTGTATGTACGTGTCTATATGCAGATATGTGTCTATATGCAGATATGTGTCTATATGCAGATATGTGTCTATATGCAGATATACGGGTTGGTTGGTCTATCTCGCTGAGTTTGAAACCCATGTTCCCAGACGTTCCTGTGAGGACTTTTCCCGAGAGGTGTTCCGAATGGTGGCCCTGGTGTCACTTTCTCTGCTGCATTTGGTACAAGACTCTTCTGNATGTCCCTTTCTTTGCTGCATTTGGTACAAGACTCTTCTGTCCTGCTTCTGTCACAAACTAGAATTAAATAACGACATCCCCAAGCCCTCCAAACCCCCAGCTGCTGTGGTCCTTATAAAGCAGTGCGAAAAGCAGAAATATTCATCACAGGTTATTTATAATAGTGAAAACCTGATAATAACCCGTGTTCAGTACAAGTGCTTAGGGAATCTAAGTTTATTACCATGTGATGGAGTCATAGCAGCTGTTTGAATGTTTACAGAGGCTCAAGTAATTTGGGTGATGCTGAAAAGTAGGAGAGAAAGGCAGGCAGGAAACTGTATAAATAGAATGACCTCGGCTATTTTTAAAATTCATAAAAATATGAATAATATACTGAATGGACTCCTCCCGGATTAACTGGTTTACTTTAATCTCTGAAAAAAATACTTTTCAAGTGTTCTACAATGAACCTAGAAGTCATCTTAGGAATCTGTTCAGGTAAGATACAGTTTTTAGAATGAACTACCCCACAGGAGTTTACAACTTATAAACCATTAATCCAATAGGCATTGCTCTTTTCATTAAAATGCTTTTTAAATGAATGAGTGCATTTGTTTTAGGATAAAGGTATTTTCGGGTAAATGACATAAGGTGTGCTAGATTTTAGCCAGTTTATTAACTAAATAAAAAGTAAAAAGGCACTGATATACAGCCCTGACCTAATTCCACGGGGCAGTGTGACCTCGAAATGACTATTCTTAGATTTAAGAACCTCCAGTCTACTGCAGGAAAGGCTTCCTCCGGGCCAGGGCTTCTCACTGTGGCTCATTACGGGCTGGCTCATCGTGTGGGGGCTGCCTGTGTGCTGCAGGCTGGTCAACAGCATCCCTGGTCTCTACCCACTGGATGCCAGCAGCACATCCCCTGTGCCCCAGACCATCCATCACAACAAAAAGTGTCTCCAGACAGCGCCAGTGTCGCCTGGGGGCAGCCTTCCCCCACTGGAGAGCCACTGGGCAATACAACAGGCTTCTCCATAGCTCAGCAGCGCTCACCCGTTTGCAGAAACACCGCTGGCAACCAAAGGAGAACCACTTTCTTCATACGACAGAAAGGAAAGCTCTGCATCTCTCCTTATGCATCGTTGATGGGACTGGAAGGTGACGGAATGGAAAGTGGAAAACACTATGGTGGTTCCTCAAAAAATTAAGAGTAGACTTTCCCTACGATCCAGCAATTCCACTTCTAGGTAACGCAAAAGAATGAAAAGTTGGGTCTCAAAAAGATAACTGTACACCCATGTTCACGGCAGCATTTTCACAGGAGCCCAAAGGCAGAAGCGGCCCAAGGTCCACTGATGGGGGAGTGGACAAACAATATGGTGCAGACACACAATGGGATGCTGCTCAGCCCGAAGAGGGAAGATTCTAGCACACACTCCAGTGCGGGCGAACCTCGAGGACATCACGCTGAGTAAGATAAACCAGTCTCAAAAGGCCAAACTCCGCGATTCCGTTTACACGAGGTACCAAGGGTAGTAAAGCTCACCGAACCAGAAGGTAGAAGGGGGGCTGCCAGGGGCCGGCGGAGGGGAGAATGGAGACCTGCGGTTGCATGGGGACAGTGTCCGTTTTGCAAAATGAAAGGAGCTCTGGAGAGCGTTTGCTCAACGATGTGAATGTACTGAACACGACTGAGCGGTGCGCTTACAAAGGTTTGGGTGGAAAATTTCATCTTATGTATAATAAACCACAATTAAAAGTAAAAAAAAAACAAAAAAGAAGGAAGCATTAGGGTATCTGTGCTGTGTGCTTGTCAGGAGAGAGGGGGGCGGGAGGAGACAGGGGGCCAGAACTGCCACGGAGGGCGAGCACCGTCTCCCGGGCCGCAGAGGACTCTAATCCGGGGAGCCAGGCCGGCGGGTGACAGGAGGAGCCCTGTAAGGAGAAATGCCATCGGACAGGCATGGCCCATATCAGATGCGCACTAATAGAATTAACAAGGTTCTACCCTCCGGCGCACAGGGATGGCAGGGACACGCTCATTTAATTCTGCTGGGACGCTATGGAAGTGTTTTGTGTCTGCCAATTACAAATGCCACTTCTGCGCGGCAGGACGTCAGTTCACTTAGTAGGTGCGCCCCCCCCCC